GATATCAAAAGTTATGATTCGCCACATTTCTTACAAATGTAGTTTTTCTTCAAAGTGCATTTTTCGTATACATATTTTTTACACATATTACAAATGATGGTAGTCTTATTATTATTACAATACCCTATTTAATACCATTTGCGTGAACAAGGTGAGCTTTTTAAAGTATTTTGGATATCAGCCTCTCATGACTCCATTCCTGATCTTACATTTTCAATGGCAAGTTCACTTGCTAGTTGAAATATAAAGTCTTTTCTATATATCTTCTCACCTGTTGTTTCCCTATACAAGATCCAGGCACTTATGTCAGCTAAATCTAAAATGTAAAAAACTTGGAGTGGCCATCTTCTTGATCCTGATTTGACACTGTATTTTTTTGCCATTGGTCCGTAATGTCTACGCCAAATTTAGTTTTATTATAAAACTCAACTGTTTCAGGTAAGCTCCTGTTACTTTTTTCAATTATGATGGATTTATGTTTCGAACTCAATATAAAAACTTTCTTTTTCGGCTTACTTTTGTAAATTGTAAGAATAATCTCATTTGATCTATAAAACAATGATGAAAAACGAACCATTGTATCCTTCTTTGTTTTACACATTTTTGGTAATCCTCTTTTGTTGCCGCGTATAGTGCCAATCAGTGTAGTTCTTTTTGAAAGCAATTTAGATGCCAACGGTAAGCTTGTAAAAAAATTGTCAGTTGTTATGGATCTTCCCTTCATAGTATACGGTTCGATAAGTTTGAGTACGACAAATTCACTAAGAAGTTGCGATGTTACTCATATTTCATCTCTTCCTAGATAAAGAAGCTCATTTAGAATATATTTCGTTTGAACATCAGATGCCAGCCAAAATTTAATACCAAATTTGTCAGGTTTATTCGGCAAATATTGCGTAAAACGGCATCTGGCTTTATTTGGAAAGAGTTGTTCATCATTCGTAATATTTTGTCCTGGCTTGTAGCAATTCTGACTATTTTGAATAAACCTATCTCATACTTTTGATATCAAAGCAAATTTATCATTTTTTAAACGTTGACTTCTATCATTCTTTTTATCGAAGCGAATAAATTTCAATATTTCGACAGATCATTTCGACTCATGGTATCGGAAAAGAAGTGTCGTCCCCATTTTCCATAAATATAACAGTTTCAAATTATTTGCTTCGTATGCTCCCCGTGCATACAAAATTCTAATAAAAGCTTTAAATTTTGGTGAAAATTTAACCGCGTGAAACGGCATCCATGCTATTGTTACGTTACACCACGTCTATGTTTATATGTCTATGTTGCATCGTCAGATAAGCCGTGGCGTGCGATAAAATTTTCTAACAAAGAGCTGATAAATCCATCTAAATATCTAATCAACGGTTCGAGAAACAGATTATAGGATACTTTTCCACTTTGAAAATTAACAGTCAAAATGACTGGTATTGGTATAAGTAGCAATGTTACAAAATTATTTGGATTCAATGTACAAAAAAAAATGAAATTCATTATATTACACCTTTAGTTATCCCTGCAAAAGTCATTACATCATTGAGGAAAAAAAGTATAACATGAAGTAGAAATTTTATAATGAAGTTGTAAAACCAGTCATTTTGACTGATGTGGTAGTTCTAAACGGTCTAGTGTTAAACGCCAAAATCATTTAAATATAAAACATTACACAATGACGTTGCGATATATTAACGTCTATAATATTACGCTGACATGGGCCTTCAAGATGGCAATTTATTTAAATTATGTGCCCGATATCTTGAAAACATAATCGGTATGTATTCGATAAATATGAGAAAGAATAAAATCGATTGATACTTATAAATTGAAAGTACTCTTTTCGCATTAATTTCGCCTAATATACACATCCGTAAGAGTGTTATTTCATCCGATTTCAACGTAAATAGATCAATAGATCAACGGTTTTATCTACATAGTGTCAGGTCAGGTTATCAACATCTGGATTATTGACGTAACTATGATATGTACTTATTCGTTAGTTTTGTCAAAAAGTTTAACTTGTCAAAAATTATCAGTTATATATCAAATTATTTACAATTATATACAAATATTTACAATATATACAAATAATATATGCAAATAATGATTATCCTTGAACGATATTCATAATTTGATCCTATACTTAAAATTATCTTACGTTCATCTTATATAATGCTATATAACCAATGAACTGCCCTTACAGCATCTTAAGATAAACTGAAGATGATCTTAAATTATAAGATCGGATTATAGCATAGAGAGAGAGAGGGAGAGAGAAAGAGAAAGAGAGAGAGAGAGAAACGTATATTCTATGTGCGTTGTTGCGCATAAAAACTTAAGTTTCACTTCTTATTGAGCTTCTATAAAAATACTTGCTGCGTAACAATTAATAGTAATGCTCTCTTTGTTTTATTTCTTTTTCAATTCTATCTTTCCAGGAAGAATATAATAGCATTTTTTAGAAAAGTGCGTTAAAATGACTATAAAAGTTTTTTAAACAATATTCTATCATTCGAGATTAGTGAAAAATCTATTAGCTTCTGTTATTATAGACGGTAATGCTATTATAAATTAGTGTTCAATACTAATGACCGTACTAACACGCGCAGCAATTACGTATAACACACGTCGCGTCGCCATGAGAAACGAAAATTGCTGTACCCTTGTACCAACATAGAAATTATGATCAACGATGATGATGAGATAAGGAGTAATAATGACGAGGAAGGTCAAGCCGCATCGATCGGCAAAATCACACGTAATATTCTTTTCGATATTTATTTCAAGCATAATCAAAAGCACCATTGGTAATCGTCAACAAGAATCAAAAGTGTGTTTGCAAAATTATCCAGTCTTTTTTTCAACAAAATTTGTGCTGTGTTGTGTGGTACTACAATAAATAGTAATAGTATTTCAATTTTATAGCAACTTATAAAATTGAAAAATTGTTTGCAAACGATCAATTAAAATAAAAGAGAGATAGCGATAAGTTAATATAAAACTGTGGATTTTAATTATCTGAGATACTTCAAAACTTATCACGTTAACGATGTTCGCTTAGTTATTATAAGCGGTAATTGCATAATTTTTTTAAATTTCAGTTACTAGCAAACATCGCTGAGGCAATACCGAATACTACTATTATTTCATATACTGTTTTTAATGTGTGATGTACTAGTAAATATTACTAACGTGACATAAAATACCAGCTTCCAATGAAGCTTCTTCGTCGACCGCAAACAGGCAATTGAAATACCTTTTAATGCACGACTGACGACAATATGGTCGAGAGTACATTTGCACTTAAAAAATCAAGTTCCCCTGTCAGATCTACTGGATCTTCATTCATCGTGCTTCAAAACAATCGAAACACTTTATTTAACAAATGTTAATTTTAAAAACAGTTAATTTTAAAAACAGTTTCTTAATAAGATCGTTAGCACGGCCTGGAATTTGATGACTGAAACATTATTAAAAGTAAAACTACAAGATAATAACAGGCAAAAAACTTTTGCAAAACAAAATGAAATTTGGAAAATGCTAGTCAATCATTTAAATGAAGTGAAATTCCTATGATTGTTTATTTATTGTTCATATTATCGTGCGTGAATTCCTATTCATAATGGGTCATATAAATCCAATAACACGTTCCTGTATCAGAGTGACATTTTTCTTATTTTTAATGTTATTTAATATTTAATATTAAATTATTATAATTATAATATGTTTAATATTATATAAGTGATATATTGTATAATATCGTGTATAATAAAATTATAATAAGAATATTATATCGCAACATTGTTAATAAATGGCTGGAAATGAAAATGACGGAAAATGGTCGAAAAGCAATTTATGATAAATATATGTTTGAAAAGATAATAGACGCTTTGTATTAGCGTTATATATAAGTAAAAAAAAAATGAATATGTCGTCATTAATAATCGCGACATTTTTGCATATTGTTAGTGATAATGCAATAAACACTCTGATTGCGTAAATTGTAAACAAAGTAAAAAGTGTCGACAAAGCAATCGAGTCAATAGGTTTAATAAGGAAGAAACTTCGATCAAAACACAGAAATGTGAGATTTATAACATCGTCGATGAATTTCGAAGAATTTTCAAAAAAAAAAAGATCAAGGGATTTAAAAAAAAACGTTAAATTTATCGCTAAATAAATTACATATTATATCATTTTATACCTTGGTAAATATTAGATANCCTTGGTAAATATTAGATATAATATCTTTATATAATTTAACATTTTGATTAACTATATGCAAAACTTATTTATTATTAATTGAGCAACATTGTCAACAACAATGTGTGTATATGTGTGTGTGTGTGTGTGTGTGTGTCAATAGACACAAAATTACACAAAATCGGTCGTATATACGTAAAATTATCTTATAACACAACAATTTTCCTTGTATATAGATTTATAAATTTGAAAGATTCTAATAGAAACACAGTGTATCTCATATTCACACTTACTGTATCTTTTTTAGCTATAGATAATTTCAGTCTCAATTAGAGAAACCTAAAATATGTTTTAACAATATAACAATATTGATCACTATTAATACTTATTTCACAGAGAAGATTGAAAAGTTTCAATAAATCATATTGAAATGTTACAAAGAGCTATAATTCATTATAAACGAAAGACATCCATGAAGCGTAAAGAAAATATCAACAAGCAATGTAACAAACAATAAAGTTTCGCACTTCTTGCGAATTATACGATTCAATTTCAAACCAAGTAAAAAATTTCATTTGGTAATATTCTTTAAAGTTTTAGAGAAAATAACAAGTATTGTCAATTAATCGATGGATTAATCGAAGTAAATGTCAAATCAAATAACTATATTTAACATTAAGCGTCATGTATATACGACGTACGCATTATAACCAACACAGTCGAAATAGTTGCTCATTTTATTTATTCGAATTATTGACACAAATCATCATTGAACAAATTGCACACAAATAAATTACCTGAAATTGAAGAAGTAACAGAGCACCCCGCAAAAAAGAAAAATCTCGACGAGACCATCCATTCCCGACTTTTCGGCGCTTTCTCGCAGTTCGACGGGGAATGACAAAATTCTTGTCCTGTGCACTATGCTGACATCAAATCAGGTGCTACTTATTGCCATGATCGCTCTCATGGTCGACGGATGAATGATATCAGCGTCACAGCAGAATTACAATCGTTGCAGGTGGCGGAATGTGCATCAGGTCGCGGATTGTCAGCGCGAAACGGACGCTATCGATCGCGCGACAGAGATCCATGGATCGTCTTCAATGACAAGAGAGGAGTGGGAAGAGAGGAAAAAAAAAGAAGACCGACTATACCGAATTCTCGATACGATGACACGTCACGATCTGACGTCGAATAACGTTGATTTTATACTGCAATACGTTAAATAATCACTGGCAGACTACATTCCGCCGCCACTGCACTACTACCACTGCCGCTGCCACTGCTGTTGCCGCTAACGTCACCGCAATCGCCGCCGCCATTGTCGCCACCACCGAGGACGGTTCACTGACTTACTGAATTCTACGACTCTGATGGTGTGTGCCGATGCGTGCATGCAGTACGTACATTCGAAAGTGTTTTCAAGATACACCAAAAAAAGAGAGTGTTCTATTCATATAAACGCGTGACTTTTCAGAGTGATGCGATCGAGAGCGAAACAAGAGGATCCCTATAAACGCGTAATATTATTTATTATTAAGTAATATTATATATTTTTTTAAATATTCAACTCTATGTATATAAATAATATATATAATTTATTTTTAGTATAGTATAGTATAGTTAAAAATAAATAAAAAAACTAAATAAATAAATAAATTATATATATTATTTATTTATTTAGTTTTTTTTATTTCAAATGTATTACAATACCAATTGTTTTATTATATAAATAAAGTCGAAAGAATTTTGTGTAAAAATACGTTTTATACTACAAAAATATACACATACACATATATACATATTATTTATATTTTTTTTTCTATATTATTATTATTTTATTTCTTTTTAATATTCTAAGGACATTTTCATAATACTCCAGAATATTATATGAAGTGGACATAACATCAACAAAACATTCCTATAATATTAAAAAATATTATATAACATTCTTAGAATATTATAAGAATACTATTTTAATACTGAGTAATAATCATATAATATTTTAGAAATATTACACGTTATAGGGATGGAGTTTTATCGTGCGAATTTTTTTAGAAATGAGTCCGCTTCTAATAAAATCAACTACTGTAATATTCTGAATTCTAGACGTTAACTGAAATATCCATCTTTCTAAAATCGCGAAAAATTATTTATTTATCGCGACATTATTTTTTATATAACATGAAAATATTAAAAAATTTTGAATGATAAAGATGAATTTGGAGATAAATATCACATATAAAACTGCTTTACATACATTTCAAATTCCCATAAAATGTTGAAAAATAACACTAGTTGAAAACGAAGAAATCTAAGATTACAAATGTTATGTTTAATTAAAAAAAGGGAAAGTGAGATTAAAAAGTTGCGCTAATTTAGAATGAAAAATTGTATGCATATCAATCGTAAAATTCAATTATTTCATTACAATACATAATAGAATTAATAGAATAGAATTAAAGAAATTAAGAGGCATGCGTGACAATAATATATCGCACTACGTACACGCTAAAGTGCGCATAACTGGCGCAACCATATATTCGCTTGGATAAATATTTTGCCATTTACTAAAGGTGCTTTTCAGTATAAGAAAACATACAGGAATTGTGTCACACAATAAACAAAGTGCATAGATACTTGATGAAATATTTTAATTTTTTAAATAATCAAGTTCTATAGTCTATCTAAAGTAAGTTGTAAAGTTTCGAGGGGAACATAAGGTAGTAATCTTAACTTTGTTGTATAGTCAATAATTCAAAATCATTCCGAGGTCAATTTCATTGTTTTAAATGAAACCATATAGTATTTTAACACAATTCGATACCTTTGTTCATTATGTATATAAAAATTCTACGATAAGATCATCGAAAAGTGAATATATTTCGAGGTATTTTACTTTTTATTCTGATATTTTTTATCAAAAGATATGAAATATCTCATAAATACTCACTTTTCGATAGCATCACCATATTAACATTTTTATATATAGAATGACAAGTGGAATTGATCATTATAAGCAAATGTAAAGCAATCTTAAAAAAATTTCTTGTAAGCAAACGAAGAACCTTAAAAAAATTGATTGCATTTTGCAAATGCATCGATGCATAAATGTGCAGTGATGAATATCATTAAGTATATTAATTAATTCATGCCGCCCAGCTTTGCGCAAAAATATAAATCATTTAAATTTAAGTTATTGTCGCGCACTTTTGCTATTTTAAAGTATTGACATTCAAGATTAAAATATGCCATATAGTTTGACGTTTAAGCATAACGTTAAAAATCAGTAGTAAACATCATGGCCTACGATAAAGAGTATATTCAACACTGCATGCATTTTGCGTTTAATCTCAGTAAAAACGCTTCTTTCGCAGCCGAAATGATTTATTCTGCTTATGGAGAAGGTGCAGTGAGTGAAGTAACGTGCAAAAAATAATTTAGTCGTTTTCGAAACGGTGATTTCATTGTTGACCATCAACCACATGCTGGGCAGCACGGCAAGTTTAAAAACAAAGAACTGCAGGCACTCGATAAACACTCGATAAAAACCTGACTCAAGCATAAAAAGAACTTGTCGAGCAGTTTGGAATTACGCAACCAACGCTTTCGGTTCAATTGCTCGGAAAAATTCACAAGGAAGGAAAGTGAGTTCCACATGAGCTAACTGCTGACAACAAAAATCGTCGGTTGGCCACGTACATTTCTTTGCTCGTCAGAGTACGAAAAAAAAGTTTTTGAATACAATCGTAACTGGTGATGAAAAATTATGTACGATAACCCTAAATACAAAAAATCATGAGTGGATTTTGGCCAACCGCCGACATCAACAGCAAAACCTAAACGCTTTGGCAAGAAGGTTTTTTGTATATGATGGGACCAAAAGGATGTGTTGTACTATGATCTCAAACCAGGTCAGACAATTAAAGCAGAGTTCTATCAACAACAATTAATCCGTTTGAGCGATGCAATTGAGGAAAAACGGTCATTTACTGGACAAAGCAGTCGTAAAGTCATTTTGTTTCATGACAACACTAAGCCACACACAGCAGAAACGACGAAGGAAATCATCTTAAACTTGGGCTGAGAAATTTTTCCTCACGCGGCGTATTCGCCAGACATAACCCCTACCATTTGTTTCGATTGACGTAACACTCCTTATCGAATACACACTTTAACTCAATTGAAGACGTTCGAAACGTCGTCGATGACTTCATCGCTTTAAAGCCACCAAATTTCAATCGCGACGAAATTCGAAAGATGCCTGATAGATGGCGTAAGATCATCGACATTAACGGAGAATATTTCAATGATTGATTAATGTATTCATTTTATTGAAAAATAAAGTCAAAGTTTGCAAAAAAACGGCACGAATTAATTTATACACCTAATAGTGATGAAATCCTCTCATATTATTATATAAGAAAGTGTTAGTCTTTCTCATTCAGAGGCCTAAAAATTGACTGTTTTTTTGGAAATGAATTGTGAAGAAACTATACAATCGATTATTATGAAACTTTTTATTTGTTTTAATAGGAAGTTTTATCTTATAAGTTGTAGAGTTAAAATGATGTCTCCCCTTCCAACCCACTCTCCGGTCCAAATGAATTTGGCGTTGAGAAAAATATAAAAATCGCGGGAAGTTCCCGGCGGTTCTGTAATTGAAATATTTTAATAATTCTTTTTTACTGGTATTCTACATTGGCATACGCAGTTACTGAACCAACATTTAAGTTAAAATAATAAAATTTAACAAAATGGCGGCAAAACGAAAATCATGTTTTGATTTTCTGCATTTTTTCAAGCACTATTTTTATAAAAAAAAATAAGGATTAAATAATTGATAAATATAAACAAACTTTGGTTCACTAACTAGCGAAATAGTGTCAATAATAATTGTGCAAAGCTCCAAGTCAATTAGTCAAACCGTTTTTTTCGGGAGAGTTTCCTGCGATTTTGAAATAATGGTTTTGAGAAAAATGACTTTAAAGTTTTTATAATTGATTTTCTACGCATATAATCCAAATGTTTTCTTAATAATCATTAATTCGCTATCCTAGGACTATAAAGTAGACCTCTTACTTCTTTGTACATATTATGTAAGGCTTGTTGCTCTTCTCTGCAAGACGTTCCGGTTTTGTCCCTTTTTGGAGCAAATGTTTCTGTTTGTGGTTTGATTTTTACACCCATAGTCATTATTATTTTCAGAATAGCATCATATTCTTCATTGAAGACACTCGTAAAATTCATCATTATCTTTAGAATAGCATTATACTCTTCATTGAAAACAGCAGTAAAACTCGCCAATCCTACAATTTTTCGATTCATATATTTATTTTTAAAAACTATTTGCCAAATAGTCGCGTGGAAACTTTCATTCATTCACTCTGATTTTGTGTAAGACTTCCCAAGCATTTTTGTAGTAAATTGTGATCCGTTAAATCTTTATACTGGTCAAATGGTGTCGGTAACTCAATGCAGGTTTGTGATTATATGATTCCAGTTTGCAACTTCGGCGTGGCCACATATACTAACTAAGTTAGGAGGGCAATACATATGGTGAGGTTTTTCATTCATGGAATATTTATGATAATATGTAATCCATATAACTTTTTCTATCTTTTCCACAGAATCGCAATTTCTCTTTATTAATAATCCATAATAAGTTGTGACGTCGCAGATTATTTTATTGGTTAATTTTCCTTTTCTTTTGCCTCCAAGACCTTTAATATTTTTCTTCACGTTTCTCAGTCAGAGACTAAAACTTACTCATTCTTTTCTGTACATGACGGATACATTCTTTTCTATGTCAACATCAACATAAAGTTCTAAATCAACTATATCTTTAAATGTCTTTGAATCACCATCACCGATATAATAGAGATACTTGGCATCATACTTTTCTTCTGATCTTATAAATTACGTTCTTTGCATTACGATCTAATGTTACACACTAATTATTAAAGCTTATTGACAGTACTTTCATATACATCAACAGTCACTTTCGGCCATGTTGAAATAGCACAACTACTGACCTCTATTAATCAACGAGAATTAATTCAAGCACCTAACAGAATTTTAAGTGCATCCAAACATGGTCCCAGGAACTTATGCACAGACCTGATAAATACCATAAACAGAGAGAAATATAAAATAAAAGGTCGCAATACTATTTGAAAATTTTTTGATTGTCTTGATATGATTAGGGTTAACTTAAGATCAAATATCATCATTAAATGAGCTGTTTAATAC